CCATGTAGTCGCTAAAGGAGTAACAGCTGGAGCATTACGGGTAAGCCACATCTTCATGCCAATGCATAGTTTAATAGAAATGGGTTAATAATGGAGAGCTAGTCAATAAGAAGCCTGAGCCATCAGTCAAACAGTTTATAATTAATGTAAGCCTCTGTGTGTTTATTTAGGGCTAAAGGGCTGCAGGACCAGACAGAACAGAATCCTCTGTCTTCACTGTGAGAGCAAAATGAGAATACTGTGTACAGAAAGCTACCTTGGGGATGGACACACAAGAAGTAAGAAACAGGAGTTTCTTCTCCAGGGAAGAAACTAGTATTTAGGAGACAGAAAACAACATTAGATTACATTAGATTGTGTACCCCTTTCCTTTTGATTTTACGAAAAACATTATCTATATATGCAAATAGATTAATATGTTTAAGCACTATAGGTTATATCACTTAAGCTCTTCACATGCAGTCTTAAATACTGATAACAGTATTTCAGGAAAAACATTTCAACCTTCTTTGTTTTATAATATTCTCATAATTTCTCATTAGTTTTTCTCCCCACGGAACTCATGACTCATCCTCCAGACGTCTCTTCTCCCAACTTGGATGATTGTGTTAAATGCTGTTTTGGTGGTGGGACCCTGTAGTTGATTGGTTTTACTCTTCGCTCTTTTGGGGCCTACCACACAGCTCCCAAATAAATACACAGAGGGTTATTATTATTTATGAATTCCTGGCCTTGGCTTGGCTTATTTTTAGCCAGCTTTCCTTAAATTATTCCTCCTATCTTTTGCCTATAGGCATTTACCTTTCTCTATTTCTTTGTATCTTTTCTTTCCTTATTCTGTGTCTAGCTGATGGCTGAATGGCTGGCCCCCAGCATTCTCCTCTCCTCCTTTGCTTGCTCCTCCCTCTTCTCTTTTTCGTTATTTATTCTCTCTGCATGCCGGTCCCACCTATCCTTCCTCCTGCCCAGCAATTGACCTTTCAGATCTTTATTAGACCAATCAGGTGTTTTAGGCAAGCAAAGTAACACAGATTCACACAATTAAACAAATACAACATCAAAAAACTCAACACATCTTTGCATCATTAAACAAATGTTCCACAGAATAAACAAATGTAGCACATCATCAACTCATATTCTGCAACAGGACCCATCAACCAATAAGAAAAAGATCACTGCCCTTGTGGAATATGGGTCCTATCTGAAAGAAATTTCACAAAATAAAGATAGAAATAATCTAGTGGGTTGAGATGATAAATGCAATGGAAAACAAAAAATAATGGAGCAGGAAGAGGGAGGATTGGGGGACACAACATAGCACTTTGCAATATTAAGTAAGATGAGAATGGTTTTACTGAAAAAAAAACATGGCATATGAAAAAGATCTCAAGAAAGAGGTGAGGAGTTAAACCATGTGGACATTTTTGTGCAGGGGTTTTACTCAGAAGGAGACAGAAACGATCCTAAAGAGTATTATACCAGGTACCTTTAAGGAACACCAAGGAATCCTTTGCAACTAAGCATAGGACTGAGGAGTAAAATCAAAGATGAAGTCACAGAATTTAAGGACTGTGAGGATCAAGTAGAACTTGTAGACATGGCAATGTTGACTCTTAGAGGGAACTAAGAGCTGTCGTGTTGAGAAGTCACTGTAGTTTCTCATAGTAATCCACGCTCTCTCCCCTTCATGCATGAACTGAGTCCTGAGATTTCCAAGATTACTCACAATCATCCCAGTCATGCAGTGAGTACCGCAGCATCTTGCTCCCCCTGCTAGTGACTATTAGTACATAATTAGATTGAGTGATGGTCAAAGGTTCTCAAAGCAAGCATTTAGACTCCTGTAACAGACAGCTCTCTAGTGCTTTTGTCAATGAGAAGCAGTCCATTCATTCGTTCAATGACAAACTGTTTCAGTTGCTTTAATTAATTCTTCCTCTGAGCATATGCTGCTGCTATCATGAAGTATTCTTTCTTCCAAGCACATTCTAAACTACCTGCTTCCTTGTCTACCACTACCCAGATCCCAGTTCACTTCACTTCCATAATGTTCACATTGAAAACTTTCACACCACCACCGGTGCCTGGGCTTCCCAAAGTACCTTTTTCTCCCAATATTCTCAAGTCTTTCTTAGAAATCTTAAAAATACCTCTTGGCCTTGGTCTACAGCCTTCAGGGCTCTGTATGTATATTGTTAAAAGCCTCCTCCTGAGCATTCTCCGTAAGTGTGTTCTCCAAAGAAGAACTGGGATTGCAATCAATACATCCTGTTTTAACACTAGCAAAGATTGAGCATAGGATTCTTCTTACATTATTTTTATCTGAGTCTTCTGAAAAACAGCTCATATCTTCTTTTCTAAAAAAAAATCATATACAAGTACAATGCATTTTGACCATAGCCATTCCAAGTCCTGCCATGCTCCCCCATGTCTCCTTTTTCAATTCATGTCATATCTCTGTCTCTGTCTCATATATTTATATATGCCATTTATAAATATATATGAAAGAGATAATTACATATTATAGATAGATATACAAATGTGATATATATACATATATATGAATAAATTAGTGTTGTCCACATGTGTGAGCTTAGGGCTGACCATTAATGCTTAGACAACACATCATAGGGCTTATCTCTTCAGAAAAATAACTCTCTCCCTTGACAGCTGTAGACCGCCTATAGCTCCCCAAATGGAGATGGGATGGGGAACACCGTAGCCTTACCCCATTAGGATGCTGACTTGTGTGCTCTTATGGAGGTCTTGGCAGGCAGTCATAGATGTTGAGAGTTTGTGGGAACAACACCCCTGCCATGTCCAACTGAAACTCTTTTGCAGTCCTCAAGGTTCTCTTATTCTTACCATCGTTCTGGTACCTCTTCATGGAGTTCCCTGAAGTGCTCATATTGCTATCAGAACCACAGAGTTTGTCAGAAAGTGGAACACTAGGATCCGTGGTTTGAGGTTGGTACTTGCCCTGTTTGGGGTGTTAGAAGCTTGATCCCACTATGGTGGTTGCGAGAGGCAATAGGAGCTCTAAGTAGTGAAGCCCAGAGCAAAGTCATAAAATAGGCACTCTCCATTGTCTGGCTTCCTGTCTTCTCATCCCTCCCACCTTGATACCATATGCAATAGTGAGATGCAGCCATGATGACCGTTGAGAAAGCCTGTGCCATGTGGCATTTTCAGTCTTCAGACTTCAGCCTCCAGACTGATAACTAAATAAACCTCTTTCCCTTGTGAACACAGCCTCACGTATTTCATTACAGTAGCAGAACATAGACTGATATAATATTGTATAGCAGGACCAATACATAGAACATGACAAAAGTGTTTTAATCCTTTGATAGTAGGGTCTGGTAACACTGGATACATTGTCTAAGCATTTTTTGATGATAAGATCTCTAATGCTTGAGATTATTCCATAATCTCATGTACATTTCTTAGATTGTTAATCCTGAACTGAGGCGAATTTTGGGGGTATAATTCCAAAATGTTAGTCTTTCTATGGGCACTATAAAAGTAGTGTGCCTTTTAAATTTTCTGGGGTGTCTGCCAAAAATATAATTTGATCACTTTTCCCACATTTTATCGTTATTCCCTTCAGAGAGTGTTGTCCAGGTGAAACACTATGAAGATTCTATATGAAAACATAGACCCAGCCATTCAAAATCTACTCATGTTCACAACCCACTACAACACCTATGTCATCCTCCCATTGAAGAGACTGCTTATCCATAGGATGACGAAGTCTGAAAACTCAAGTCTCCCCAGCTTATGCTGCCCTCCCCTGTCTTAAGCCTGTAGGCCAGGAAGTTATACAAATAACTCATCCATTAGTCTGCATCCAGGCTCTGTGAAGCAGGATGCCAAGTCCTATTAGGTTACTTAAAGAGGCCTACATCTACTTCACACAGTGCATGTGGCGCTGGGCATGGTTCAAGTTCACACAGCTCGTTAATTGACCCCCAGTGCTAACGGCTTAATGGGACACTGTGGCATTATATTCTGCAGATTTTAAATTAAAGTTTCAGACTCCCCCAGGACATGCACAGTACCGCAATTAACACTAATTGGCATTACACATGATTAACAAGTGAAAAACATGGGTTTTTTTTTTCTGAAAATGCTTCTTTTCTCCCATGAATTCTAAGAAGCTGATGAATGCATGCAAAGATGAGTAGGATGATACCCAGTGTCTGTTACATTGGCACAGCTCTGTAGACAGCTTCTATACATGCAAGAGAGAATAAAGAAAGACAGAACTTAATGTTACAGACAACTAGCCCTATAAGAGTTTAAATCAACGTTAAGTGAAAAACAAAAGCTCTCAATCACAGGACTGGCACAAAGTCACTTTTCTCCACATCATAGACACACATACAAGAAGACTGGAAATATATATATACTAAACTATAAAGAGGAATTAGTTATTTCTGAGTAATGTCAATTGTGATGGTGTTTATCTGAGTCATTTGAATGTGTCATTTTCCTTTTATAATGCAAAAGGAAAGGTTGTTTTGCTAAATCCACTCATTCTTGCAGAATAAATGCAGCAGAGAGGTGTGTTTAGAATGTTTTCTTTAATATTTGTTTACTTTCATTTTATATGCATTAGTGTTTCGCCTGCAAGCACATTTGTGTGAGAGTGTCAGATCTTGGAATTACAGTGTTGAACTGTATGTGGGTACTGAGATTTGAACCCAAGTCCTCTGGGAAGAGCAGTCAGTGCTATTAACTGCTTCTGAGCCATCTCTCCAGCCCCATAGAATGCTTTCATCCTTCATGCATGCCAGTCCCTGTATTAGGCACTGAGGATTCTGTGTGAATAATGGACTGACAGCTTCTTAAATCATGAGAGGAAGCAGGGTTCTACACATGAGGAAAATCAAATGCTGGAGGATGCTGCTGCACATGCCCATTCTGCAGTTCACACCAACTCCATTGTGCCAAAGCCCCCCTCTAGATAGTGCACTAATGTCTGTCCTCTCTTCTAGAGCCCAAGATGATTGTCCTGCTCTACGTGACAAGTCTTGCCATCTGTGCAAGTGGACAACCTCGGGGCAATCAGGCCAAGGGAGAGAGCTACTCTCCAAGGTACATCTGCAGCATTCCTGGCTTACCTGGTCCCCCAGGTCCTCCTGGAGCAAATGGCTCCCCTGGGCCCCATGGTCGCATTGGCCTTCCTGGAAGGGATGGTAGAGATGGCAGGAAAGGAGAGAAAGGAGAAAAAGGCACCGCAGGTAAGGAATGATGAGGTTCTATGAATACCCCCTCCTCCCTTCGTTGTCTCTGCTCAGTGGAAACTGCTCCTTCAATGGCTTCATTAATCATGACAATTTACTTTGCTTCAAATGCTGCTTCAACTCTTTCCAGCCTTATTGGCTACAGTGACAACTTTGTCGGGTGGACAAGGTACCATCGGGAAGCCTGAGCCTGGTGAAAGGCACTGCAGGAGATGAGCATAGACCGGCATACACTGTGCGCGACTGCTGGAGCTGGACTTTCAACCACTGATGCCTGGAATGATCAGACAGCAGTTGGATGCGTGGAAGTTTGAATAGACAAACAAATGGGCCAGAGCAGGGGAAGAATTGGGATTCAGAAACTCTTGTTTACCACTCTGCTCAGAGCTAATGTTCTAAACAAATATTCCACAAGGTCTTCTAGATTTTTCCATGTATACAGCTAGAAGGACAATAGTGTCATATAGCTGACCTTTCCTCGCTCAGCACTGTCCCACCCATCCTATCACATAGCTCTCTGTGTTAGTATAATTGTCCTCAAGTCTTCGATAATTTTCAGGCTTTTCCTCCTACAGATAAGTTAGCCCGGGAAGCTTGCCAGACTCCACAGTCCTTCAGAAGAAACCAAATTGAAATTCTCCAGAGGTTGTGTTAACTCTACAAGAGCAAAGAATTTGGAATCAATCTTTGAAAACGTGCTTCTGAGTGTACAAGTTAGACAAAAGAATGAAAAAATACATAGATCGAAAAAATATGCCTCTACCCAATCACGGCACCTGATTTACTGGGGTTCTATGAGACAGTGCTAAGGCATACATCCAGATTATTGGATAATGTGTCATTTCCAAATACTCCATGCAAAACACATGGGGCAAGTCAATATCTGTCAGATGTGTGAGCATTGTTCAATATTAAAGAACCTTATGTAAAGATCCAATGTCAGATCCAACCTTGAATTTGGAACTTAGATGTAGTTATTCAAAGGCAGCTGTCTATAAGGTAGCTCATGTGAATGCAAATTATAACTGAGCCATGATTGTAAATACCCTTAAAATTCTATAACACACAGAGTATAGTTCTATATATGAACAACCCTTTCAGCTTGCTGTGTCTTGAAGGAAGAATGTACTGGCTAATCACACAAGCATTGGCACCAGAAAACACACTCAAACCTTGACTCTTTCAGTTCTTTACCTAGCATCATTGGGCAAATAGCCTCTTTGGTCCTCATTTGTAAATTGGCAATAGTAAGATCAATTATGAAGTTTGAGGGTAGTCATATATGCAGAATGTCCTATAGAATAATTGCCATGTACTAAGTATTTGGTAAATGTTACATATTGTTAATTATTACATTTTGATCCACAGGTCCAAGATAAATCTGTGGCCACCCAAAGCCACAGAGCAAACAAAAATGATTAATATATCCATAAGGTAGTTCTATTGTTATTTCAGATAGAATTTGATATCTTTACGTGCTACAGCTTTAGCCTCGTATACATCCCTCTATGTATCCATGCATTATTTACTCAGAAATATTTTGTGTATCTCTAACTACTAACTTCTATTTCTGGAGAATGTTTTTTAGCCTCCACACCAATTTAGTGCTGAATAATTGTTATGGCAGGGTGAGGTGCTTGACAGCATGTGCCTAGATATCAGTGGCACACCTCTCCCACCCGAAGCAACCAAATATGAATCTAGACCAGTGGTTCTCAACCTGTGGATTGTGATCTCTTTGAGAGACAAAGTATCCTGTCACAGGAATCACATATCAGATATCATGCATATCAGATATTTGCATTATGATTCATAACAGTGGCAAAATTACAATTACAAAGTTGCAAACAAGTAATTTCATGGTTTAGGGTCACCATAACATGAGGAACTGTATCAAAGGGTCAGAGCATTAGGGAGATTTGGACATTGCAAACTGTCCCCAGGGACACAGCTGATTGAGAAACTGTTCTAGTCGATGGGAACACAGACATCTGTTAGGGAGAGAAGGGAAAGAACTATCTAAGCACATCATTGCAGTAGTTCCAAATACTGTCTATTTATTAAGAACTCATGTGTTGGGAACTTATTTATGTTAGCTTTCACCATTACAATCTGCAGTAACTATAACATGCAATAAAATAGTGCTACAAATGAAACTGTTAAGATTCAAACACAAAGTGACTTTTCCAAGAATATGTAAATCCAACAGACACAGAGAGGAAAGAGAGGGCTGACTGTAATTGTGAAGAGATGCACACATCGCCCCAAAACCACATTTGCAAAGTGACTGGAAAATGGGTCCAAGGCTGGGAAGTGCTAGCCAATGATTCCTCTCCAATGACAGTACAGGGCCTTTTCATTTGTGCAACCTTCTTGGGTACCAGGTTGCCTTCACCTCAAGCAAGTCCAGACAGAACTCATTGTATTCTTTTTCTTACTTTGCTACCCTAAACTAGAAATGAAGAGATTATTACACCTGCAAACACATATCTCACTGGTCTGTAGAAATCACCATAATATATTAATCCAATTCAATTAAATCAGAATTCATGCTTACACAAATATCACTAGAACTATCTCATGAAGCCTCTAACAGCTGAGCCATCTCTAAAGTTCTCATGAAGCTTTCTTCATTCCAGTTTAATATAAAGATTTAGTATTAAGCCTATCACACTGAGTCCCTGTCACATATGGTGAGTGTTCAGACAATATTACATGGTTCTAAATTCAAGCTAGACATGTGGATGGGTGCATAAATCCATCGATGGAAGGAAGGAAGGAAGGCAGGCAGGCAGGCAGGCAGGGAGGGAGGGAGGGAGGGAGGGAAGGAGGACATAGCTGATCCATGGATGAAAAAAAAAGGATAAAATGATTCTAAAGAGAAAATCTAGGTAGACCGCTTGATGGAGAACTAGAAAGAAAAATATATGGCTAAGCTTCAGTACATATACACAGTTTAACCCTTAATGCATCATCCTTATATAGTCTTTATCCTTATATAGTCTCCTGGTCCATGGGGAAATTCTCCATATAAATAAGAATAAGTTCTATATATTATCATTACATTTACGCCATGATTAGGTATATCTGACAGTTTAGGGTATTAAATATATATTACAATAGAAAATTTAAATACTGAGATCATAAAGAGTTCCTCATATTTATAATTTTCATTTCAATATTTATGAGCTGTTTTCAATAAAATTTCAAGAGCGACCTCAAGCAACCAACTGCTAACTTTTATTTCAGAGACTGGGAAGCCTAGGCCAGTAGACTTAGCCCTTCTTCATATTTACTACTTGATCCACAGGGGAAGTGGGTTCTATGGCAAACAGGCTGAGTCATTGTTGACTGTGTCATCACCCACTAAGTTGAAGTAATCTTACATGCAGTGTCTCTGTATTGCAAATGGAACCCTTGAGCAGGAAAATCTTATAAGCAGTGTGATTTGAGCTTGTAACGAACTCCTATGATTAAAATTGTTACTGAGACATGAATGGTTTTATTATTGTACTGAAGATCAATGACAAAGGCAGAAAAGGTGAAGCTACCGTTGAACTTAAATACAAATTCCGGATTTTGCAGTCTTTGATTTGTGAACGATAAAAGAAAGTTTATATGTTTCTGTCCCAGAGAATCAAGCCCTGATGAATATCAGAAACATCTGTCTCGTGTATTCTGCTTGAAACAGTAGAGCTTCAATTTAACCAGTCTATCTGCATTAAGGGGATGCAGCTGTAGTTGATAAGAATGCTGATCTTGTCTCACCAACAGTGGTGACATTCATTGAAAATAACCTCCAGGCATCATAAATTGTTAAACAGCCACTTTCATAAGGATTAAAGCACCATGCTTGACATTTTGAGGGTAAAGCTTTAATTCTCCTAAACTTTACATTGCCAAGATACTTCCTTGTTAATTTTGCCAATTAACAGGAAAAAAGAACCAAGTTATCACATGCATGCACTGAACTATGTACGGCACTCCAAAATTGATATCAAAGCACCACAAGATAAAGGGCTTAGCTGAATCAGAGTACCTGAGAAGAAAACCATGGTTACAAGAGAAACCATGCATTAACAATACATTTTCCTGAATGACAAAAAAAATAAACAACTGAAGACCAGCAATCTGGATACATTGTGTAGAAATACTATTATCCAACTACTATTTGTGACATGGATTTGGTCACAAAACCAAAACCTTTTATTATACTAATTATTGTTGTTTTATAAAAGAAAAAGTCAATTTTGCTGATGCCTTTCAATCAAGATCACATTTTTCTCTATAGTTAGCCTCTAGTTAACCTGCAGATGTAAAGATTTGGACATACAGAAAATGATCCTATACAGTTGCTTAAAATTGGTTGAAAATCTTTAGCATCCAGTTTTCTTTATGTAAGGGGACCCAGAAAGGTTAGGAGACAAGTCTAAAGTGACACATTTAGTGGCAGAGCCAGCTACAAGTTAAGAGGCATTTCCATGGAGGAAGAAAGACACCATGAGGCTGGGAAGGCTTAGGATCCTTCTAATCCTGATATATAGTCAAGTCCCATTGCCTCCTCAGGACTCAGTTTTTTCCTCCAAAGGAAAGACTGTAGAATGGTGAAAGCAGTCATCATTTTTTAGTTAAAGTAGCAGATGATGCCCCCAACATTCCAGGGTTACCTACAGTTTACAGGATCAACCCAACACATTTCTCAGAGGATGGTACCCAGACTTGTGCAGGCATGTGTTCAGATCGCAGCTCCATCACTCAGTAGCTCCATTCTCTTGATTCAGTTTCTTCGTCTGCAATGAAGATACTAATTCTTAGCTTTTAAAGTTGTTGTGAGATTTAAACAAGATAATGCATGCAAATGAAACATTTAACCTTGGTCCTGGTATAGAGTAAATAGTCGATAAGCATGGAGTTTGATTTCGATTAATTATTATTAACAAGAATAGAATGAGAGAAAGACTAAGCTTCCTCCAAAGAATTACCTGGTTCTGTCTCCCCTCAGGACTCACCCTGGGAAAATGACCAGCATGCTCTCTGAAACCTTTCTGTGGTGACAAGTACCTGGTTATAACTAATATGCACTTGGGTGATAGGTCTTCAAAATAACAGCTTATTAGTTTAATTAATCGGGGTCTAATTGAAGTCTCAAATATTGCAGAAAATGTAAATGAAAGTTTTCTATTCTCATTTTTAGTATATCATGATTTCCAAAGCTGTTGATAGTTGACTGAAAAGACATGATTAGGGTGTGTTAGCAGTGTGGAGGTATGTTGTTTGTGACTCTCTAGAAGAACTATTGACTTAGCCATTAATTGTTTTTGAAGGTCTAAAAGGTAAGACTGGACCCCTGGGACTTGTTGGTGAAAAAGGAGACCAAGGAGAGACTGGGAAGAAAGGACCTATGGGACCAGAGGGTGAGAAAGGCGAAGTCGGCCCAGCTGGGCCTCCTGGGCCAAAGGGAGACCGAGGAGATCAAGGGGACCCAGGGCTGCCTGGAGTGTGCAGATGTGGAAGCATTGTGCTCAAATCTGCCTTTTCAGTTGGCATCACAACCAGCTACCCAGAAGAAAGGCTACCCATCATATTTAACAAGGTCCTCTTCAATGAGGGGGAACACTACAACCCCGCCACAGGGAAGTTCATTTGTGCTTTCCCAGGGATCTATTACTTTTCTTATGATATCACATTGGCCAATAAACACCTAGCAATTGGGCTGGTACACAATGGGCAGTACCGAATAAGGACCTTTGACGCCAACACAGGGAACCATGATGTGGCTTCAGGGTCCACAGTCATCTACCTGCAGCCAGAAGATGAAGTCTGGCTGGAGATCTTCTTCAATGACCAGAATGGCCTCTTCTCAGACCCAGGCTGGGCAGACAGCCTATTTTCTGGGTTTCTCCTCTACGTTGACACAGATTACCTAGATTCTATATCAGAAGACGATGAACTGTGATCTGGACTGGAGGCCTGAATGTTGCAACATAAATACCACATGGCTTACACTTTGATTTGATCTGGGGTGCTAGAAAGTGGAGTAAGTGAGAAAAGGATTCAGAAACTCCCTTTACAGACAGCTCTGGCAGAATTTATCATAATAAGACAAACCACCAACCAGTTGAAGTCACAACAAAATGAACGACATAAAATAACTCCAGACATGAACCCCTCAAAAGTAATGATGATAAATATTTAAGCAAATTAAAAGTAATGTTGACAAATTTGAATGCCCTTGGTGATACAACCAGCTGGCAGTGACACTGCCTCATTAAATATTCATAAAACTCCAGTTTTGTCTGTTATTTAGGATAATCATAACATTATAGACAAATTCTTTGACAATTCTCAAGATTCAAAGAAAAGTAAGAGATGCTAAAAATTTTCTTTTCTTCCTTCTTTTTTTTTTGTTTTTTGTTTTTTGTTTTTTGTTTTTTTAGGGTTTCTCTGTGTAGCTTTGGAGCCTGCCCTGGCACTCACTCTGTAAACCAGGCTGGCCTTGAACTCACATAGATCCACCTGTCTCTGCCTCCTGAGTACTGGGATTAAAGGCGTGCTTCCCCACTGCCCAGCCAAGATACTAAGAATTTTCTAACGAATTAAAAAAGACTGATACATTTCTTTATTTATTCCTTTATAGTTTTAGATGTACACTCAACAACTTCTGTGTGTGTGTGTGTGTGTGTGTGTGTGTGTGTGTGTGTGTGTGTGTGTTTGCTTATTAAGGATTTTAATGTCTGCTACGCATGAAACACCATACTGGATTCTGTGACAATGAGGGAATCCCAAGATGAATATAGGCTAGTCCCAAGCATCAGATTCCTAAGATGATAAGAAATTGCGCACGCGCACACACACACTCTGAAAAGGGGCCTGCTAAAATATACATAGTGTTAAATGTTTACTTCTAAATTCTGAGGTGATAGAAGCAGACCAAAGAAATTTCTGCCTACCAGATCTTAAATGCCAAAGGATTTGGAGTGGTCCGAGTGGGCAAAGAGCACACAGACGTGACAGTGTGGATGGATGAAACAAGAACTGAGACCAGACAGAGGGATCGGTGGGTCAGTTCCAGGAGGGATACTAAATTTATGAGACTAGGTCTCAAGGTGGGGCACTACCTTCATCAAAGGTGACACTTGCAGTGATCCCACAGCCTGTGTATACGAAGTCAGTGTTTTCAACTCCTACCTTGAGTCCACTGTACTCTGCCTGCTGAACTCTGTCTACTTCTTGTTTTTGGTTTGTTTGTTTGTTTTTTGTGGGGGGGGTTGTTGTTGTTGTTTTGTTTTTTGTTTTGGTTTTGTGAGACAGGGTTTCTCTGTGGCTTTGGAGGCTGTCCTGGAACTAGCTCCTGTAGACCAGGCTGGTCTCGAACTCACAGAGATCTATCTGCCCGCCTCTGCCTCCCAAGTGCTGGGATTAAAGACGTGCACTACCAACCTCCCAGCCTCTGTCTACTTCTTGCTCTCCCAAGTCAACCCACAGGCCCAGGGACCAACTGCATGAAGTACAGAAAAAAGAAAAAGAGAAAAAAAAGAAAAAGAGATAGTCACCATCTATTGAAAACAGCCACTGCAAGAATCCCAGGCAATATAGTATACAAGACAGTCAACAGAAATAGGCAATAAAATAAAGCTCACTTGAAAGCAGATGAATTTACTGATGAAATTGAAATCCAGAAAATATGCAGACTGTGTTGACCCACAAGGTTGTTATATAATTAAAACTTTACTCTGTGAACCTTCTGATGCAATTTTAAACAAGGCCTAGTTAAATAGCTGAAGATGAGGCTCAACACTTGATCCACTACCTCCCAAGTGTTATGGATCCAGGCGTGAACCACCATGCCCAGTGTACATGGTGCTGGAGATGAAACCCAGGGTTTTGTGTGTGCCCAAAAAGCTCTCTACCCGCTGAGCACAACCCCATCCTAACAAGCATGTTATTGTTTCAACATTATCTTTTAAATGATTCTTGATTACAAAATCTATTTTAAGCAGATATTTAAAATAAATTTTTCCTTCATTGGTCTTATGCCCAAAATGAATTTATTTTTAAATTAATATCAGGGTGAAGATGAGGGTTAGACATCTGCTGTGGGAAATGAAAAGCAGGTTTCATATTAAAATGATAAAATAAAAAACTTTCAGGAAATGCTTGTGTCTTTTCATCCCTAAAAAAGTTCTCAGGCATCATTTTTCTACATCTGTGGGTATTCTTGTAAAGAAGGAGAAGCCTGGCTTGTTTCTAAAAACAATCCAAGTCTCATTCCTGTCATTCTTCATAAGGACTACCTTGTAATGAATATGTATCAAGTCATATTTCTACTTTTATATACTTCCTCATCCTAGAATGTCATGAGCCCTCAGCAGACACTGTATCTGCCAGTAACTGACCTTGGACATCCCAGCCTTCAGAAGTATAAGAAATAAATCCAAGTTATTTATAGACCCTTAGTTTGGAGTATTTTTGTCATAGACTAAGACAGTCCTGACAGTAATTATGCCCTCATGTTACAAATGGAGAAATGGGAACAGAAAGGATCAGATATGTATGAAGTAGGTCCTAAGTGCAAAGTAGGCCTGGGCAGTTTAGCACGGATCAGGAACAAAGTTCATCTTTGTAATCACAGCTGTGGAATGCCACCTCCACACTGGCTTCCAAGAGTGACATGGTACACTCTTCACACGTGTTTCCGTTTGTCTGTCTGATAGAGAAGTATCCCTGTCCATCTCTGTACATAAAAATTCTACCTGCCATAATATGCACTCAAGAAAATCATGCTAAATTAATCAATGAAAAGTTCTTCTGAAGTATAGTCTTCACACATGCAGAGGGAGAGAAAGAGAAGGAGAAGGGGGCAGAGAGAGGGAAGGAGAGAAAGAGAGGGGCATCAGAGCCAAAAAGCCCCACAATCACCCTGTGAATTAACCCAGAACTGTGGACTGCAGCTTCCAGAATCCAATATACACTAATTCAAGAAAGACAGAACCAGACAAAGAGAAATTCTGAGACAGATCTGGTTACACAGGCATTGGCACCAAGATTGTATTTTTCCCACTGCAAGGATTCGCTTCAACTTTGGCAGGTTCTTATTCTGTAACAAAGATTGCCACCAACAGCCAAGGTCAGCATTGCTTTGTGATCTGTTTGTTTCTTGTTAGGTAGGACTAGGGACGCAGTTCCAATTTGCAATTCCAGAAGGCTCAGTTATGAAAGCTGCCTGACTACAACTGGTCCTGAGTCTATCCCTCAGCCAGGAACTGACCAAAGAGATGCACATTTCCCATCAGTCATGACTGCATCACATCCACCCTTGGAGCTGGAAGGAGTCCTGCTTAAAGTTCCTGGGCCCAGGCTGGGAACAATAGAATTTCTCAATAGAAAATAAAGGTATCGAGTCTAAAAGAAGAATTATTGGTTAATCAGCAATTAGCTGTTTCAATGCTCAGTCAAACCTCCTTTTTGTCTATGTGATGCAAATTTGTGTCACCAGAACACAAGACTCTGTAACATTTAGTTAGAATTGACTGGACCCTTCACATAGTATGCCCTGGCATCTGTGCTGACTCAGTTCTACTGTCAACCAGAGTCCTGGCCTCCACTGATACTTAAAATGAAATGATCTTACTCTCCACAAGCTTCCTTCTTCTCCGACACTTACCCCACCTCAGTTACTGGGAAGATTCAACAATTCTCTTTAATGCTGATTTTTTAAAAGAGAGAATGTTAGGGAGACATTTTTAAGATCAATCTCTTTCTCCCAGGCCCAAGGTGACCTCTGGGCCTGGGCTTCTGCTTAGGGTCAAGTCTGGGTCCATGGTTCTACTGCAGGCTGTGTCTCTGTTGACATCTATAACCCATGTTGCCTCCAAGGCCATGGGGATGCCCAGGGCCATTACCTGGGGCCATGTTGCTGTATGAGGGCCACCCTGTTGCTGAAGCCATGCTGATCTGAATGGCTTGTTCTGCCACCTGGGGGTATGGTAACATTTGAACCCAGGATGCTGATGAAGACGATAATCTAGGTCTGTGTTCCTAACAAAGCCAGAGTCTGTGTTGATGTCCATAGCCCATGGTGCCATCAAACGCCACACAGATGCTCAGGATCTAGACAGCATCCTGTGGTCATGTAGGTGTCTGAGAGCCATGCCGCACTGGGGCCATATTGATCTGGGTGGCCTACAGCTGCCACATGACGCCATGGTGTCATCTGGGTCCCCGCTGATGCCTAGGGCCATGTGTATGTCAGTGGCCCAGCACTAGTCAGGGTCTAAGTTGATGTGCATGACTCCTGTTCTGCCCCTTGCCTATAGAGGATGGTCCCAGTGTCCTGGAGTGACCAGCTCAGTCACCACCCAGATCCACATCCTGGGCCTTGGGTTAGCCCTGCTGGAGAGCATGCGCAGACTGGTTCCATGGAACAATAGCCACTGGATCCCCATCACTCGGGGCAATAGCAGGATGTCAGAGAGGAGTTTCTGTGAGGGTCCAGTAATGATGGTGTGCCAGAGACCTTGAACCAGACCAATGACCCATAGCAATGAACACTTTGTTGGTGAGGCTGTTGGTGAGACAGAAGTGTATACTATGTGACACACTGTAGCACCTAATGCCGCTAGGACAAATAAAGAGGTATTGGAAAGACAGAGGAGCAAGATAGGTTTTTGTCATTTATTTGTTTTGTTTGTCTTTTGAGGGAAAATGATACAGGAGTCAGGGGAGGATGTGGAGGTACTGGTAGATGATTCCCAAAGAATTAATAAACAATTATGGTATTTTTTTAAATCATCTCTTTTTAGAATCACGAGGACTGGTAAATCCAGTTTGTTCCTTGAAGAACACAACACCAGGACTGAAAAGTCAGCCTAGGTCAGGAACTACTATGCTGGCTGGCCAGAGAGAGAAAGCAACTGCCTACAGATACCAGCAGTAACCATCTACTGGATTACCCTTTATAGATGGCCTCATGCTGGGTGTTTATAATATGTACTTCATTTCATTTTATGGGGGGAGTGTCATGTTAGTGACATATGTTCTAACCTCTAGAGAGAACTCAACACCACACCCGCATTCCTAACTGAAAGAGAAAAGACATCATGGACATATTAGGCGGCTAGTACTTGAGAATGCATGAGGTCAACATCTCTTGACCACATATATGTCTTTGACTTCTGAGCATGTGCTACTTGGAGACCAGGCTGGAAGTAGCAGGGCTCCGTCTAAAGTAATTCTCTGTGGCGGCTTGAATGAGAGAAATGCATTCAGCAGTGCTGGCATAGTAAAAAAAAGGATCAGGTAATGACCTTAGGGTATCAGCCCAGGCAATATCAGGCACCTTTGAGTCCTGGAGGAGACTGAGAGCAAAAGGTGTCACTGAGTTGAGCATGCAAAGCTTGAATATTTGGAAGAGGAACCATGACACAAGAGATATACCACAACCACATAGAAGCTAGGGCAAAATTCTTTCCAACTATTCTGCCTCCTGTCTCTCACTTGTGCCTTCTTTGGTCAAATCCAACAATCCCAAGAGATAAAGGATTGTGAGTGACACGGTGCACAGAAATGGGCTTCTTCAACACTACAACTGAGTGGGGCAGAAATGGGCAGAGAA